CAGAATCTCATCTGCCATCATCAGGCTTCTGTATTGTGTTCGTCTGTGAGTCAGACTTTCACAGCCATTTCTGTTTTAAATTTGGGGCTAGCCTACTGCTATGCCAGAATGGTTTTTTCTTCATCCTGATTGGTTGGTTATATATATATTTGTCATTTACCTCTGATATAATTCTTTTACACTTCCATTGCTTAATAATTAAATATCATAGTAAAACATAATATAAACAATGGTTTGTTTAAAACCCTTAAGACATTTATTGTGATATGTATTTTATGGCTTATCAGGGACCATGGGATTGTACATAAAAATGTGCAATTGTTCAGACAAATTTATTTTTCTTTCTTCCTTCTTACAGAAAAGTAACATTTACATACAAGTAACTTGGTACATTTAAATTAACCATATTATTTTACTAGATTATTTATAAGTTTTTCATTGTGGAGATTTTCAGTGCTATGACTGCAGTTTGATCTTTAGGAATTAATTCTTAACATTCTTTGAAAGATAAAAACAAAAAGTGCTTAGATGGTTTATTGGTCTTTTATTATTTACTCTTAGTCATGCTTATAAGTATATGAAAACAGATGATCATCTAATTTTCATATGACAACATCAAAAAATAACTGACAAGTCTTTCACATTCTATAAACTGATAGGTTACAAAAGTATGACACAACAATAACTAAAATGATTTGCAAGGAAATGTCTAAAGATTAAGGTTAGGTTTAATAATTTAAATAAGTCATGCCTAAAGAACTGTGTTTTATGGTGGCCTGGATCTTCAGCTAATGAATAATATTGAGATGGTAATTCAATTGGGAAGAAAGTCTGTCAACATACTAGACTACTTGCCTTTACTGCCTTCTAATTTGTTTCTGAAACGGATTAAGTCTGATCAGTAAAGTATGTCAACACCTAAAAGAAGAAAATCATCATCATCATCATCATCATCATCATCATCATCATCATCATCACCATCATCATAGCAGTTGTCTATCCACTGTAGGATGAAGGGCTCTTCTTCGTATTTTCAATTCATACAGTCCTGAACCTTTTCTTGCCAATTGGGCCCACAATACTTGCTGATGTTGTCAATCCATCTTGTTTTAGGTCTCTTTCATGGAGACTTTTTATCAAGTGGGATCCATCCATTCTGTGACTGCCTTGGTCCACCTGCCATCAGTTCTTCTTGATATGAGACCAGCCGATTTCCATTTCAATTCTGTTACTTTCTTGATGATATTGTATACTTTTGTTTGTTGTCTAATCCACGTATGGGTCTTTCTATTTAGTTTTGTAATACCGAGCATGTATCTTTCCATAATTCTCTATATATTTCCGCTTATCACCGAAAGTCAATTTATTTATTCATTTTAATAATCCAATTTATACCGGCACCCATCTCATCAAAGGCAACTTAGTACTTTAGTTTCCCCTCAAATTGATATATAATTGATGACTATGAAAAAGAAAAGTAATTTTCCTCAGGTTTTCAATGCCCTCCTCTCATTCAAGAGAAGATTGCTTGGTGCCCATATCCTCACTGTTTTGACATCAAGTAAAAAGTTATTTCTTTTTTGCTCTCAATCTTTTAATACCAGCAGTATTTCCATTTCTCGTTATAAGATGGTTTGCTCTTCTTCTGTGTTTAATATTCTTTCTATTGTATAGTATTTGAAGATTCCTCAGAAATGTATAAATTAGTTTAAAAGATGTTATAAAGAAACTAAAGAAGTAATTAAAATATTTTAGCTCACACAATAAGGAGATACAATCAAACATGAGTAAAAAAGGCAATAGAGTACAAAATCACAATAATAAAAATGGCAATAAAAGAATGTGAAATTCTAAAAACCCATTTTTCCCGATACCAGTAGAACAAAAAGGTCTACATTTTTTGTTGGTTTCTTTGTTTTACCCACTATAACTGAGATAGCCTTGATTTGGAAGCAGTGATCTCACTTGTACAAACATCTTAACTGGGACACTATAAGAAAATAACATAATATATGATCACAATCAAAGAATATTCAGGAATATGGTAATACCAAAAAAGATCTTGCGTTCCTCTGTCAATCAAGGAATTCCAAAGAGGTGAGGGCAAACAGATCCTTTCAAAGCCAACAAATATACAGCACTCTCTTGGTTAAGTCTGCATTAAAGTTTCATCTCATGGGGTTTTCTGACTTGCTTATATAAGCTCTGAAACATAATTAAGTATACCTGCTTTTCACTGGCCTCATCTCACTTGAGTTTATCAAGGGCAAAGAGGGTGAAATCATCAAGGTTAAGAAATATCAGCATGTAAAGATTTTTTGACAGATGATGGGATAGATCATCCTATTCTACAAAGGTAGAGGACAGGGCAAAACAAAGGATAACACACATATAGTATAAACCTATTGTGACTAAAATAAATGGTGGCTTAGTTTCATATTATGTACTCAAGTATTACATGGGAATACAGGTAGTGCTTGACTTTATGATCACAATTGAGCCTAAAATTTCTGTTGCTAAATGAGACAGCTGTTAAGTGAATTTTGCCTCATTTCACCACCTTTCTTGTGACAGTTGTTAAGTGCAGTTGCTAAGCTAATAACACAGTTGTTAAGTGAATCTGGCTTCCCCATTGACTTTGTTTTTTAGAAGGTCACAAAAGATGATTACATGACCCTGGGATACTGCAACCATCATAAGTATGAATCATAAATATGGGGGTGGGGGAGTGGGAGGGTCCAGAAAAGGAGAGAACCCCCCCCCAAAATATTAAGAATGGGTACAAATCTAAGCCCTCCCCACTTTTAATACCTTGTTGCACTTACCACCTTAATTTTTTTTTAATCTCCATTCCATGAATGCCCCAGTTATAAAACTTCCATGATAAAAATAATAATAATGAAGCAATTAGAAAAAACTAACAGCAACTAAACAAAAACTAAAAAAAAAAAAAAAAGAATTAGGATCAATTAATAACCAAAGTCTCTCTTAAGTAATTTTATTTTGAATCATTTTCTAAAACCTAATAATGTAAGGGGTTACAATGCTGGTGCTACAATAAAAAATGGATCTCTCTTTCCCTTACTTCATGGCCATGGGGAACAGTTAGCAGACTCTTGGGAGCTCTGCCTCTATGAGGTTAAAAAAAATGACACCAAAGTTGGTAAGAGACCCTCTCTGAAGAAGTCATTGCATAGATGTGTTCCCCCCCACAAAAAAACTGCTTTTCTTAGGCTACCACAAACCTTACTTTACAGGTAGTCCTCAATTTACATTTAGTGACCATTCGAAGTTACAACATCACTGAAAAAAGCAACTTATGACTGTTTTCCACACTTACAACCGCTGTGGTGTCCCCATGATCATGTGGTTTATATTCAGATGCTTGAAAACTGACTCACATTTATGAGGGTTGCAGTGTCCCAGACTCATATGGTTGCCTTTTGTGACCTTCTGACAAGCAAAGCCCAGGAGGGACCCAGATTCACTTAACAAACGTGTTACTAATTTAACAGCTGTAGTGATTCACTTAACAAACATGGCAAGAAAAGCTGTAAAGTGGGGCAAAAGTCACTTAGCAAATATCTCACTTAACGACATAAATTTGGGGCTCAGTTGTGGTCATAAATTGAGGACTACCTATATTTGATGAGTGGCCCTGGAAAAGATCTCCAGGAAAACATGTCAGAATTCAGTGTGGTAAACTTATATTGTGTTGTATTTTGGGTTTTATACTTGTGTACCACCTACAATTTTTAGTTGTATGAGGCAACTATTATGAATAATAATATACGAATCCAAACTGTTTGCAGACCTTTACCCTCCTTTCCTTTGCTTTTCACAGAAAGAAGGGCAATCCAGAGCTCAACTTGTCGCCCAGGAACTTGTGTCATCAGAAAAAGTGTGAGTCAATCAGCTTTTAAAAATCCTTAGGAACTATGCAGTGGATTTGATTCATTCAGCTCTAGCTGGTTGGCCATTTAGTAAAATTGCATCTCTTTTTCACAGGTATGTGGAGATGCTCCGGCTGTTACATACGGTAAGTAAATCATTTTAATTGTTGAAAGCTAATTGCTGTCTTACTTAGTAATAATTTAGGAGACAGAAGAAGCACTGAGGAGACTGAGGTGAATTTGGTGAGGGGCAGGTTGTCATGAAAAAGAGCTTACTGGGGCGTTGCAATGAAATCTGTCTCAGGGTTGTGGGGGGAGGATGATTCTCTGTGTCTGCCAGAAATCTGGAATTTTGCATCTGTGCGAATTGTCAGCCAGACAACTTGCCAGGAATTTGTCTAAGAAAATGATTTTCTTGAAATACTTTATGGAGGGAGGGAGGGGAAAAAACTGGGGTGGTGATTATCATTGATTCAGAAAAATAATGTTGAAAAGAGCCATGTAATAGGGCAATCAATTGTAAAAATTATTTGGATGAGGAGAGAGAATATGTTGTTAGAGTTGTTTGCTTAGGCATTGGATGGTCTCTATTAATCACCTCTATAACTCAAATATGTGTTGTATACTTGAGAAAAACATCCAGCGGACATTTTAGACTATCAACTCCCACTTAGATGCAGGAATTTTGCTATTTATCCAGGAACCAATGTTCACTAGGAAATATGCTTCATTGATTTCAGTAAGCTTTATTTCTGGAAAAAATATACCTAGGATTGCCATGAAAACCTAGAAAACAGAGGTCTTACAGCATGTTTCCCTGATGATAATTGATATAGCAGTCAGTTTTGTTAAATAAATACAAGAAAACTAAATATTAATATAAGAGAATATTTGTAGCTCTAGGAGTCTCTAAAGTTTAAAAACTAACAACTAATATTAAATGAACTAATATTAACTGAACAAGGACAGATTTAACCTGGAAATAAGGAAAAACTTTCTGACAGCGAGAACAATCAACCAATGGAACAGCTTGCCCTCAGAAGTTGTAGGAGCACCATCACTGGAGACTTTCAAGAAGTGATTGGACTGCCATCTGTCAGAAATGGTGTAGGGTCTCCTGCTTGGGGGTTGGACTAGATGACCTACAAGGTCCCTTCCAACTCTGATTATCTGTTATCTATTAAGTAAAGAAAAAAAGAATAAAGGAAAAGAGAGAGAAAAGAAAAATGCAAAATGAAAAGATAAAAAGAAATAGAAAAAATAACTTTCAGTGTTCTCTGCAGGAAAAACAATTATTCTATGGTTACAAAAATATTTTTCCCATTGTTTAAATGTTTAAACCTACTCATCAGATGTACAAATCATAAGTTCATATATTTTTTTTGTTTCATGAGAAAAATATATAAGAGGTCTCCATTCAACAATAATGTCTAAGCAATGTCTTTGTTTAGTCAAGAAAGTCAGTTCAGCCATCTCCGCAAATTCCATCTTCTTCACTAAATATTCTTCTAATGCCAAACCTTTTCACTTTTGAGCATTTAATAATCTTGCACTAGTTTTCAGAGAGAGAGAGGGAGGGAAGGAGGGAGGGAGAATGAGTGTTAGTTGTCTGTCCATTAGTTCCAAAGAAAAGCTTCTGGTTTCAATTACACACTAGTCCTTAAAATCTTCTGAATTATCGAATGTAAGTGTATTCAGACTGTTCTGACTTTGTTACACATCTGTCAAACATGATAAATGTCCTTTCATGGTGGTTCACATTTCCAGTATAAATGTAAAGTATCTTTGTACATTCTAAACAATTTCTTTGATGACATATACCAACAGTACATCATTTTATAAAAATTATATTTATTTATAATGTAAATTTCAGTCCCATCAACTAAATATTTTTGCATTGTTCTATTTGTAAAATATATTATAGCCAAATTTTAGCCCATATTATGCAATCTTTCACTTGTTCTTCTGTCTCAAATTTCAACAAAAAATTACATGTTTTGGCAATAATATGTTCATCATTTGTCCATAATTCTGTTTCAAACTCAATTTTACATTATTCAAAACCATTAAATCTTATAGGTACCTTAAAGTTTTGTTTCACACAGGTCTGCAAAACCACAGGTATTAAACAAAAACTTTATAATGGTGTTTCTAACATTTCCGTCTTTTATGCCAATACATTGTTGAGTGCTTTGTGCCAGGTTGCCACTTTAAAAATGTAAAGTATGACTAGTCTTTTTAAGGATCTTTTTAAGGATTTTCAAGACATTTTTCATTCTTTCTTGTCAGCTACTCTTAGAATGGGTAGTTTGTGTCAAGATTAGACACAATAGTCTGCTTTTGTGACCTTGCAACTGCAAAATAAATTTGTGTCTTGGAGGAGGGAAGGGGACAAACTTATTTCCCTTTCATTGTCATTCTTCCCTGCCAACATCACATTCTGGAAAGAAAAATACAGTTTTAAAAAGTTTTGCGTCTTCTGTTACATTGCAATAAAGAGAACAAAAGTGCACCACACCCTGATTTGAAAGAAGAAAATTATTATTTCCTTAAACTCTAAGGAACACCTTCTTCTGTCCATCACCCCTGTCCCTTACACACACAACTCACAGAGAAAGACTCTAGAACAGATCACCAGCATAGCAGAAAAAGTTTGGCCTTTTAAGCAGACTTTAATAGTTTGATTGATTGCCAAAAAGATGACATTTACATACACCCACTCTGCTATTGAACTGGAAGACTGGAAACATTGTATGAGCTTAAACTTTATATCAGCTGGTGTGGCTCAAAAATTAAGTTAATAAATAGAGTTTGATGTTAATCTAGAAATGTAGGTGCTGTTTACTTATTAGTTTACTTATTTCCAATTAGTAGCCCTTAAAAGGAACACTAGCGACCAGTTTTGTGTTTGGCAATAGGCAAACCTAGTTTCAAAAAGAGCATACTTAGAATAATGTCTAGGTATCATGCTCATTGGGGAATGACTGCAACATGAAGGACAGATTTGTCATGTGTACCATCATGAGCCACAGTGACACAGTGTTTAGAGTGCAGTACTACAGGCTACTTCTGCTGTCTGCCAGCCGCCTGATATTTGGCAGTTCAAATCTCACCAGGCTCAAGGTTGACTCAGCCTTCCATCCTTCCAAGGTGGGTAAAATGAAGAGCCAAATTGTTGGGGGCAATAGGCTGACTCTGTAAACTGCTTAGAGAGGGCTGTAAAGCAGTATATATAAGTTATAAATGCTATTGCTATTGCTATTGCTATCATTGAAAGTACTGCAGAGAGAATTTGTACCATCACCGGAAATCAACTAATATAGGAGTTTACTGTGAAGTCAATTGACACATTAAACTGCCAGGCTGCATCAGTGATTAAATAGGCCAAATGAAAATCTGAGGCTAGCTTAATAATTGTACACATCAGACACTTTATAGGCATTATAAGTATGTTCACAGTCCAGTGAGCTTTTTCTTCTATGTACGGAGATTGATGTGCATCAAGGCACAGAATCCATGTATCTGATATAATTCCTATCAGAGCAGATTCTCATTCCAGTACAAATTAAACTAAGCATCATTTTTACACATGTCTACAGTAGTTCATTTTCCCTGGTGTTGGAGGAGAGAGAAACAGCATGTTTCAAAGTTAAATGTTACAAAGTGGTTCTTGTAATACACTTCCTAAAATGGATGGCTGAGAAACATATCTAGTGGAGATCTTACAATTTCTTTGTCAGATTAAAGGAAACTACACTATCGTTTTGCTGTCCTCTGGAATGTATCCATAGTACTAGCTTCATTGGATGTCCAAGAAAATAAATTGTTCCTGATTGCTTTACACCAACTGTGTATTTGTTTACAACCGTGCAGTTTTGCATGCTCACAGCTCTTAATTGGGATGCAATTAATAAGATTCCCAGTAATAGTCTCCTTTATAAAGAGGGCACTATAATTACTTGTAGCTTTCTTGATCTTATGCAGGTGGAATATAGTTATAGGTGATTGCTACAGGCAACCGAAATGACTTCCCCCGAGGATATACTTCTGCATTTTCCAAGTGCTTAAATCACAGTAGGATATTCCATCTGTATATTCCACAGTACATTCTTGTGCTTGAGAGTGAGCAATGTGTTCCATAAGAGTGGGCTGTTAATCTCTGATGTTTCATATCCTGCTTTGTTTAATCAGATTTTCTTGTTTTATAGTTTGGAAATACTTAATCTAAGTCTTCCAATTGTATCTACTATTATTACATATAACACTGCATTTCATTAATTTAAATTAACCAATAGTTATAGTTAACCAATCTAAGATCCATGTTTTCACTTTTGGGCTTGCCTACCTTGTATTTTAAAACAATTTTTCCAAATCATTCAGGGAGCCTTAAGAAGGAAGGAAGGGTTATTTGACAATAGCATTCTCTGATAGGACCATCAACCTTCTGACATAAATAATATCCATCCAATTCTGCCCAAGCACACATTTAAGGGAGGAATTGCCAACCAATGTTCCTATTGGTGAGAGTGATAAAGGATGGATGGAGAAAGGACAGCAGAAGATCCACTAATCACTGTACTGAAACTATTCCACATTAAATGAAACGAGGTTATGGGGTCAGTATAGTTGACCCCATCAGTATAGTTGACCCCTCAGTATAGTTTCTTCCTGGCTCAAGAACAGGAGGAAAGCATTTCTGTGGGGCCATGGCGGAGAGCTTTGGGTCCCAACCTAGGCTCTTCAATTTGTACAACATACAGTATATAGGTGCATCAAGTATGTGTATCAACAAGCAGACAATATCTTTTGGAAGCTATCCATATCCTCAACAACAGAGGTCAAACTCGCAATGACACATTGTCATCATGTAATGAATCGCAACTTTTTTCCTCTTCGCTAAAATAGAGGTGGCCAGTGTGTGACGCATCCGGCCTGCAGGCCGCAAGTTTGACACCCCTGCTCTACAACAACTCACTAAACTTTAAGCCAAATAATGTTCCTGAAACTCTGTTAATCTACTTCTCAGTTTATACATAGACTTATATATATTATTGCTAATTTGTCCTGTTGATTTAAATGACTGCACCATATGTATGTTATTTGAGGGACTTCCTGGTTACATCTACCCATCCCATCAGGTCCAGCA